TTCCGCCAGTCTCTGTGGCCGGCATCTTCAGAGGACAGCCCTCTGAAGATGCCGGACAGAGCACAGAGTGTTGTCCTCTGAAGATGCCGGCCACAGAGACTGGTGAAACGTTAGGAAGAACAACCTTCAGAACACAGCCAAAGAGCCCAAAAAACCCACAACAACCATTAAATCCCGGCCATGAAAGCCTTCGTGAATACTATGCTTGCTGTTTTGTATTTGTTAATATTGCTCATTAAGTAAATGAAGGACAGAGACGAGGCAGGTAGAATACTCTTGAGAAACATGACAATAAAAGGTTAAGTTGGGATATTATTTTAAAAATATGATTATTTTTGTTGGTTCTTTGAAAAAAATCTGTTGACATAAATAGAGTTTTGATGCTGGCATTTGTTTAGGGAAAACAATAAAATGTGACTTTCGGAGAACTCTTAGTGTAATATATATATATTGATTTCTTACAGACATCAGACTGCATAAGTGATGAACAAAGAGCACAGCAGCTCAACCAAATGGAAGAGCAGCGTATTATAATACTGAACAACCTGGAAGAACTTGAACAAAAGATCAAGGATTTAAATGATCAGATGGATGAGTCCTCCAGAGAGGTACATATTTTTTTTCCTGGCTATTTTTATGACTTGATTTCTGAATATAAGAAACATACATATTCGAAATGCTTATATAGATTATGATTTCCTTTAATGCACTTGTAGGCTATTGAGACCCAACATTCTCCTTTGTTCAGTGAACATGTGAAAGCGTACTAAATGGCACTTGCTAGTTGTGCCCTGACACTGTTGGACCTGTATGGTACATTTGACATCAATGTTAGACATTAGTATCACACATACAAGAATCCTAAACTATTGCTCTTCTTGTCATGCGTGTTGGGCAATAGGTGGTTTTTAGTATAACAAAAGCTTGGATCCTAGTGTTTAATCCAGCCCTTCATATGTTACCCTTGGTCCTCAGGTATAGACTATCCTTTTTGTATATGTACAAGGCGATCACATAAATATTTATTTAAAAGTAAAGAACACAGTGTTCAGCATTTTCTAGTAAATGTGTGTTATGGACCAGAAACTTTAGGAAATTATAGAACAGATTTTCAGCCTAACTTCAGGAACTAGTTACTTTACATTTTGCAAATATGAATTGCAGAACATTACTTCAGAGTATTACAGAGTCATCATTAGGAAATAAAACTCCCAATTCCTCTTAACCCATTTTTCATTATTTCTTGGCATAATTATCAAGTCTTTATTGACTTCTGCTTTAGTTGGGGTCTTAGATTTGTAAAACAAGCTGAAAATTCATATTAAATTTAATCAGGGAGGGAATGAAAAAAAGTCCAGTGTAGTATCCTGCTATGAGGAATTTAGAATACCATAAAGAAGAAGAGGCAGGCAAACTGGAAATAAAGTCTTCAGGAGAGATTTTAAAGTTCAATTTTGGTTTTCATTATTTATTCCGGTCATTTCCTCTTTGCGTAACATATGCAAAAATCTGAAGAGAAGTTAGTGCGGCTTGGCATCAGCTGAGTTTTTAAAAGTATGTATCATGCATGAATAAGCCTTCCAAAACTGTGTGTCAGGACTTCTTTGTGACTTGGATTGAGGTTGAGAATTGTTTTGTGTTCTTAGATGGATATGGAATGTGCTCTGTTGGATGGAGAGCAGAAATCTGAAACAGCTGAACTTCTCAAGGAGAAGGAAATTCTAGATCATTTAAACAGGAAGATAGCCGAGCTGGAGAGAAATGTTATTGGCGAAAAGACTAAGGTAAATAAAGTATATATATATAATCAGAGGTTTTGCACATTTTGAGGAAATGATACTTGGGAAAAAAAACATAATGTCCCATGATACGGTGTTTTAATGTGAAACAATGATCTTCTGAACTAATTAGAAGCCATTTGTAGACTGCCCTCAAAGAATTCTTAAAAAACAAAACATAAAAGTACCTGAAAGCTGGCATGAATTATATCAATGCATATTTACATGACAGGTGTTATTCATTGAAGAAATGAACCGTGAATTGTTGTTGTTTCAACTTATATACCACCCCATAGTGCTAAAACACTGGGTGGTTTACAACATAATTATGCAAGCACACTTCGGGTATTCATTTTACCAACCTCGGAAGGATGAAAGGCCGAGTCAGTCTTAAGATGGCTACCTGAGCCTGTTGGGATCGAATTCAGGTTGTGAGCAGAGACTTGACTGCAGTACTGCAGTTTAACCACTTCATCATGGGGCTCTCTTAACAGAATGCAGAATTGTGAAAAATGAGGAGTGAGTGGGGAATCTATTCTTTATTGCAGTGTCTGCTGTTTTCCTGTTCTACTTGATTGGTAGTTTTGTCAGATCTTAGCTATTTTCTGGACTAAAGGATTCTATGAAATGTAAGCAAAAGTAACTTTTGCAAGTTATTTTCTACTGTCTTTTTTCTTTCCTGTAATTTGCAATGACAATCCCACCTGAATTTAACAGTTTAGCTTAATTTTTGTTTCATTCTCATGTTGCACAATAATTTTAGATATGTACAATGTTTATGCTTAGGATGTGATAGCCATAAACATAACTTTGATAGGATATGTAGGCTGGAGCACAACAAAAACTAAAGCTTATGCAGTAAAGGCATGAAACATGGACTTGACATGCAGAATTTTTGTGTAGTAAACTCTTTGAAAACCAAACATGCAGACATGGATACATCTTAAATTCTGAGGAATGCCTTTTGAACTAAGAAACCTACCATTGTACCAAAACAGAAATCTTCATAATTATTAAGGTTGCAGCTGCACAATAGTAAAAATAGATTGATCCTCTGTGAATTCACATTTTGGAAGCCAAACAGAGAGAGGAGAGAGGAGTCAGAAGATCAGAGGGAGGAGGAAATCACTAATCGCCCCTTGTTTGCATCCTGTTAAGGCAGTTTCTGCTGTGGCTATCTAGACTTGCAGGAGGCACAGCTGCAATAGAGATCCTATATATGTGTGTATAATTTATGAAAGAAAATCCAATTCATACATAGAAATGTGGCATGCTAGCCAACAATGTTTTTTAAACATTTTCTGTTTGTTACATGGGAGTTTCCCTCTCTGGTACATTCCCCTTTGCACAGTGTGTTGCGTGACTGATAGCAGAACCAGTTTTGTGATCTATGCTTGTCTGTTCATACAAACATTAGCCCCCAAAGGGCAGAAATACTCATCTGATTTAATAGCATTTTAGATATTGTTGTTGTTTAGTCGTTAAGTCATGTCTGATTCTTCGTGACACCATGGACCAGAGCATGCCTGGCCCTCCTGTCTTCCACTGCCTCCTGGAGTTGGGTCAAATTCATGTTGGTAGCTTCAATGATATTGTCCAACCATCTCATCCTCTGTCGTCCCCTTCTCCTCTTTCCTTCACACTTTCCCAGTATCAGGGACTTTTCCAGGGAGATTTCTCTTCTCATGAGATGGCCAAAGTACTGAAGGATCTTCAGGATCCATCCTTCCAGTGAGCACTCAGGGTTGATTTCCTTCAAAATGAATAGGTTCGAATCTCCAGGGGACTCTCAAGAGTCTCCTCCAGCACCACAATTCAAAAGCATCAATTCTTCGGTGGTCAGCCTTCTTTATGGTCCAGCTCTCACTTCCATAAATTGCTACTGGAAAAACCATAGCTTTGACTATGCGGACTTTTGTTCGCAAGGTGATGTCTTTGCTTTTTAAGATGCTGTCGAGGTTTGCCATCGCTTTCCTCCCAAGAAGCAGGAGTCAATTTCATGGCTGCTGTCACCATCTGCAGTGATCATGGAGCCCCAGAAAGTAACATCTGTCACTGCCTCCATATCTTCCCCTTCTATTTGTCAGGAAGTGATGGGACCAGTGGCCATGATCTTAGTTTTTTGGATGTTGAGCTTCAGACCATTTTTTGCACTATTTTTTCACCCTGATTATGAAGTTCTTTAATTTCTCCTTAATTTCTGCCATCAGAGTGGTATCATCTGCATATCTGAGGTTGTTGATATTTCTTCCAGCAATCTTAATTCTGTCTTGGGATTCATCCAGTCCAGCCTTTCACATGATGTATTCTGCATATAAGTTAAATAAGAAGGGAGACAATATACAACTTTGTCGTACTTCTTTCCCAATTTTGAACCAATCAGTTGTTCCATAGCCAGTTCTAACTGTTGCTTCCTCTCACACATATAGATTTCTCAGGATAAGGTGGTCAGGCACTCCCATTTCTTTAAGAACTTGCCATAGTTTGCTGTGGTCCACACAGTCTAAGGCTTTTGTGTAGTCAATGAAGCAGAAGTGGATGTTTTCTGGAACTCTCTGGCTTTCTCCATAATCCAGAGCAAGTTAGCAATTTGGTCTCTCGTTCCTCTGCCCCTTCGAAATCCAGCTTGCACTTTTCGGAGTTCTCGGCCCACATATTGCTGAAGCCTGCTTTGGAAGATTTTGAACATAACCTTGCTAGTGTGTGAAATTAGTGCAATTGTACAGTAGCTGGAGCATTCTTTGGCACTGCCCTTCTTTGGGATTGGGATGTAGACTGATCTTTTCCAGTCCTCTGGCCACTGCTGAGTTTTCCAATCTTGCTGACATATTGAGTGTAGCACCTTAACAGTGTCATCTTTTAGGATTTTAAATAGTTCAACTGTAATGCCATCACCTCCACTGGCCTTGTTGTTAGCCAAGCTTTCTAAGGCCCACTTGACTTCACTCTCCAGGATGTCTGGCTCAAGGTCAGCAACCACATTATCTGGGTTGTCCGGGACATCCAATTCTTTCAAGTTTAATTCCTCTGTGTATTCTTGCTACCTCTTCTTGATGTCTTCTGCTTCTGTTAGGTCCCTACCATTTTTGTCCTTTATCATGTTCATCTTTGCACAAAATGTTCCTCTCATATCTCCAATTTTCTTGAACAGATCTCTGGTTTTCCCCACTCTATTCTTTTCCTCTATATCTTTGCACTGTTCATTTAAGAAAGCCCTCTTGTCTCTCCTTGCTATTCTTTGGAAGTCTGCATTCAATTTTCTGTAACTTTCCCTATCTCCCTTGCATTTTGTTTCCATTCTCTTCTCTGCTATTTGTAAGGCCTCGTTGGACAACCACTTTGCTTTCTTGCATTTCCTTTGCTTTGGGATGGTTTTTGTTGCTGTCTCCTATACAATGTTATAAGCCTCCATCCATAGTCCTTCAGGCACTCTGTCCACCAAATCTAGTTCCTTAAATCTGTTCTTCACTTCCTCTGTGTATTCATGAGGGATTTGGTTTAGATTATACCTGACTGACCCAGTGGGGTTTCCTACTTTCTTCTATTTAACCTCGAGTTTTTTGGTTTAGATTATACCTGACTGACCCAGTGGAGTTTCCTACTTTCTTCTATTTAACCTTGAGTTTTCGTATAAGGAGCTGATGATCAGAGCCACAATCAGCTCCAGGTCTTGTTTTTGCTGACTGTATAGAGCTTCTCCATCTTTGGCTGCAGAGAACATAATCTGATTTTGGTATTGCCCATCTGGTGATGTCCATGTGTAGAGTCGCCTCTTGTGTTGTTGGAAAAGAGTGTTTGTGATGACCAGCTTGTTCTCTTCACAAAACTCTATTAGACTTTGCCTTGCTTCATTTTGAACTCCAAGGCCAAACTTCCCTGTTGTTCCTTTTATTTCTTGACTCCCTACTTTAGCATTCCAGTCCCCTAAAATGAGAAGAACATCTTACTTTGGTGTCAGTTCTAGAAGGTGTTGTAAGTTTTCATAGAGTTGGTCAATTTCAGCCTCTTCAGCATCAGTGATTTGTGCATAAACATGGACTACTGTGATGTTGAATGGTCTACCTTGGATTCATATTGAAATCATTCTATCATTTTTAGATTGTATCCCAAGTACAGCTTTTCACACTCCTTTGTTGACTATGAGGGCTACTCCATTTCTTCTACAGGATTTTGCCCACAGTAGTAGATATGACAGATATGATAATCGTCTGAAACTTTAGCCATAGCTGGAATCATATTCTTACTTATTTGAGATAGAAGATCATTAAACTCAGTGTTGCTGTTTGTTGAGCAGGACTGTATAGGATTGCACAGTTAATATTCTATAGTCTAGAAGCTCATATATATCATTTACAAACTCATATTCCATTTCATGATATTCATGTTCTTTTGTGAACAGCTGTCCTGATTTACTTCATCACTATTTTGTAAATAGTGAAATGGTATATGTTTACGATTTATGAAAGATAAAGCCTATTTCATTCATAGAAATGTAAAAAAAATGATGGCTCTGTTTGTAACAGTGATAGCTATGTTTATGGAAACAGATAAGTGATGGAATTAATTCTTGATCTGGGCACCTGTTTAACAGGAAGTCTTGTGCAGATTCTGCTGAACATTGTAGAGCAACTGTTTCAGAAGCCTGTGAAATTCTTAAAAAGAGATATCATAAATGAAAATACAGTTTTCCATCTCAATACTTAAAATAGACTAGTAAGAATGTTCCTGTTACTTGTATTGTTTTTATGCCTTTAAGGAGTGACAATACAATAAAAAGGATCAAAGAAATTTGAATTATTCATATACTTGCAATAAAAAATGTTGATTTAGTGCAAACTTCACAGTTCTTCAGTTATTGAAAATACACAGCCAGAGCAACCCAAACAACACATATTAAGATCTGTCCAGATATTTTGAGGAAAAACCCACAAATTTTGTTTATTTTGGGCATTAATTCCTCAAAAAACACACATCTATATTTGGCATCAGTAAAATGACAATATCAT